TGTAGTATGCACAAACAAGTGTAGTTCATGCAGAGAGAAGGACATGGGAGCTGCTCAACAACTGGAGATGCAAAGAAGGCAGCTCTTGCCTTAGCAGTGAAGGGTCAGAGAACAGTTCCTGTAACAGCAGCTTTGATACTTAAGGCTTGTTCCATTGGTGATTTCTGTAAATGATTTCTTTTACATCATGGAGGCATCACTTGAGTGTAACCAAACCTGCTTTCCAAAACCTTTGCAGAGAAGGGCAATCCTCGTGCTGAGTTACAGGGGCCTGGACACTGAGGAGTGAAAAAACTGCCATTGGTTTTACTGGAAATAGGTTTGTGCCCTTTTAATTTAAACTTCTTCTTGTGGAGTGTGTGTGTGCAGCAGCATGCAGAGGTCTCTGAGCCACAAACCAGGTGATTGTTTGACAGCACAGCATAACCCCTGCACCAGCTGGGAGAGAGAACAGTGTGTTCCCTGCATGGCAAGTTATTCATTATTTAGGAGAACGGAGCAGCTGGTTTAGAATTGGAGTCCTTGCCTCCAAAATAAAACTTTCTCCCCGACAGACATTGAATTCCTCTATTTCTCTGAGTTCTGGTCTACTTAGACTGGTCACAAAGCTGGACAGGGCACTGGTAAGGGAGGTGATTTGGAAGAGGCATTTTGTGAATGTAGTTTGATAAGAAGAGAGTTTCTTAAGCCACCACTGCCTGTCCCAGGCCATCCTCCTGGAAGCAGACAGAACACCTGCATCAGGTAGAGATGCATGCAGTTCACAGCTCTGGTTTGTGTGCAAGCCCATACTACCATGACACTGCTTTCTAGAAAAGCTGAAAAAACCTCAGTTCCATGGGGCTCCTTTTCCACTCTGATAAAAGGCAGAATCAGTGGCATTAACCAGGGTACAGCCCAGCAGTTCCTGAGAAAGCGTTTTTTTTGGTTTTTTTTCAGAGGCAAAGCCCTTTCCAGTGTCCTCCTTCCCAACCCTCCTCCCCTGAACACCCACCTGTGCCCTCCCTGCTGTTGCTCTTGCTGCTGGGCTGTCAAAATCTCTCTCCTAATGAAGCAGTCTGGCCTGAGGCTGCTATTACCTCCAATCCCAGTCCTGCTGAGCGTGGCTCCGGCAGCAGGGTTGGTGTTCCCAGGCAGAGAGCACAGAGCTGGGCTGCACCTGGCAAGGAATAAAAGGCAGAAAGCAGAGAATCCTGGCTGTTAGACAGTCCTCTGATGGCCTCTGAGACTGTGGAAGAGGCATGAGTGTGGTGGCTCTGTGGTCTCCTCCCCTGGGTTTTGGTAGGTGCAGCAACTTGGTAAGGATTGTTGCTTTTCCTCACTGGTGTGATAAATGTCAGGGAATTCTGTGGAAAGAGAGGGAAGTGTGGGGGGAAGCTGCTAACCGGAAGTCCCTAAAGTCTAAACACCCCAACTTCTTTGGGGGGAACAACATGATTCACTGGATACTGGATTCACTGGATGCTACACCAGTTGTTGAAAGACCTGGTTTATTTTCTGAACTGTTTCAGTGTGCAGGACAGAACTTTGCTGGCATAGCTGGTTGTGGACTGTAAGAAAGTCATGCTACAGACCTGCTATGACAAGATCAGCAAGGCCAGTGCTGTAGGTGCAGCTGTGCTGGCAGAATTTTGGATCTTCCTTTAGCTTCCTCAAGTGGTGCCAGAGATGGCACGTGTGGCATCTGTGCTGGGTTCCTGCAAAGACAGAAGCCCTGGATCAGTTTCTGGACTCAGGCTGCTCATTTCCCAGGGTGTCTCTCTCCTCCCAGCCTCAACCTGTCTTTCCTGTAAAGGGGCAGGGCCTGCATCTGCAATGAGTTTTTAAAACACAGCTCGAAGAACCTTTGATCTCAGTCAGAAACTCAGAGGTTTACTGAAACACGTGTAAATACCAAGTCACACTTAGGAAGTTTTCCCTTCTTTTCTGGGTTGAATAGTGAAGGAGTATCTAGGGTAGAGTAATTTGTCCATGAAACTGGTGATAGAATATAGAGGAAAATCTTTCTTCCTTAAGTGTAAAAGACCTGTGCTTGAAGCATTATCTCTACTTGGAAAGCACTTTACAGCACAGGTAACTCTTTGCAGTTGTTGACACATTTGACCTGAGACACACAGGCTTTGCTTCAGTCCAACACGATGTATTCTCCAGAGGTGGAGGACTAAACGTTGGGAAATGATCACTATTTACTGTGTTTACTGTGGTAGTGCCTCTGTCAGCAAACTGAGATTCATGCTCTCACTTTGCTGGGTGCTGTGGAGACACACAACAAAAAGACAGAGGTGATTCGTGCCCCCAGACTCGAGAACCTGTTCCAGTCCCTCAGTGTGGAATTCGCAAAGCGTTCCTGGTTCTCTCTCCAACCACGTGTGCCTGGATTTGCTCAGTGCTCTCTGATCTGCTCTCCAGTGGTGAATCTGTTTACACTAATCCCGAAAGCTCTGCTATTAAGAGAGTGGAGCTGAACAACTTCAGACTTCTGCTGGTCTCAGCTCAGACATCCAGACACAGCTCTTGCTCTTTATTACAGCGAGGGCTCGTTAATAATTTTAGTGCTGATGGGATCAGTCTGAATCTTTTGCCTCTTGAACACTCCCAAACTTCACAGAGTTCTGCCAGAACCACCTGTATGTGAGAAAGGTGTTCCTAGAGGATGGAGGCCAGCCTTGTCCTGCTCTCCTGGAGGAATCATGGAGACTTGCCTTTGGAGAAGGCCATGGCCAAGCTCTTCCTATGCTTGGAGGTGAAGAACAGTAGCCCTTGTGGCTGTAAAAAACAAGGAAGGCTTTGAGAAAAAATACCCACTCCCTTGTAACAAGTGAAAAGAAATCAGGCCCGTGAAGCCAAGTTATAAAGGGGATGGAGTCAAGGGAAGTCTGAAGTAGATCTCAGGGCTCTGCAGAGCCCAGTGCAGTTCTGGTGTGCCAGGCATGAAAGTTTCTGGGTGTGTAATAGTGAGCAGTTCTCACTCGACCTCCCTCCAGAATCCTCTCACTTCCACAGAGAATATCTGTGTCTCCCAGAGCCTCTTCCAAGCATTTTCCTTGGTTCATTAGGTGATAATAGAAAGTGATTTTCCCCCTATAATCTTGAGCAATCAGAAGCATTAAGAATAAAAGCCTAAGCCTGAAAGCCTAAATGAGAGGGTTTGATGGCTATGTGAATCTGCCTCCTTCACTGCAGCAAGAAGCAAGGATGGATCCCAGAGTTTGTTTCTTGAGAATAAATAGGCAAGAATCAAGGATCAAGTGAACAAGTGTCAAGAGAAAATTGAGGGTTGGGGCTTAGATTCCATTCCCAGATCTGCTGAACCCCAGAGAGGCAGTTTCTCTGCCTTCACTGGTAGGAAAGCAGTAACTTTGTCCCAAAAGTGGTCCATTAGTAGACTTTTTGTACAAAGAGAGGGTTACCTGTCAGCTGAGAGCTGGAGGGCACAGAAAATAACTCAGGTGGTGGTCTTTCTCCTGGTCTGTGAGTGCTTGGAGATGATCTGGGAGATGGTGCTGAAGTGGCAGGGGCAGTTACTGCTCAGAAATGACCCTGCCAGCTTTGCCAGCAAATCCATTTCTCACTGTCTGGAAGGCAAGTTCAACTTGCCACCACCTCCCCCTGTAAGCAGGCAACTCAGGAGAGACAGCCTGGGACAAAGCTGAGAACTTTTTTGTCCTGGGAACTCTGAGACAGAGCCCACACAGAACTCATGTTTTGCCACCTGCTAAGACTTGTGGGCCATATTTTTTGCCCTGTGTTTAACGGGATAATTTATTTTTATTTCCCTTCTAGGTAAGATTCTTCCTGCCCAGTCGATTCCTACTCAGCATCCAAAAGGTGGGGAACCCCACCTTGGTGATGAGACAAATCTCCGTAACAACCACACAACTTAATTTTGGGCCGCGTCGTCCTCTCGGGGGGGGGCAGCTTCGCACGGACCTCCTGCCGCGGCTTGCGCTGGAAAACAAATTTACACCGCGTCTCCCAAGTCTTGCCCCATCCCTAGGTGGGAACGCGAGGGATGCAGCCTCTGCCTTCCCGAGGTACAGCACAACGGGAGGCTGCCCGGGGAGAGCGAGCAGCATGCATGGGGAGGGCACCCGGGGATGCAGAGGGATGGGCAGCATCCGGAGGGGTGTCCGTGTCCCCTGCGGGGCCGGGGGAGCCCCGGGTCCCCCGGGCTGGCGGCAGCCGGCGCTGGCCCCGCCGTCCGTCGCTCACCCCCCTCGCTGCCGCCGGCGCGGCGCTTCCAAAGCGCCTCTGCTGTTTAAATGGGCCAAGTTAGAGAAGCGGCGGCGGCGGCGGCGGAGGGAAATCTTGTTTGGTCAGAGTCTCCGAACTGTGCGGTGACTTCTGAGCACAGATCAATACGTGTCTGTCCCGGCTCGGGGAGGCGGTGGGGGGTGCCCGCCCGGCACAGCGCCGGCTTTTGGGGCTGGGGGGCAGCGTTGTGGGGAGCGCAGAGCCGGCGGGGATGTCACCGTAGATGTCTCTGTGTGTGTGTGTGCGCGCGTAGAGCTCGATCTGTCTATATGTGTATGTATATACAGAGAGATACGGAGCGTGACACCACGTTTCTTAAAAAATTTCGCGCAGGAGTGGAAAATTAAATAACCAACTCGCGGGGTGTGTGTGTGGGGTGTATCATAAAAGGCTTCGGTGGGAGCGGGGCGAGTCCGCACGGCGCAGGTGAAGGTGGGCGGCCCCGGGGAAAGTTCGCCGCCGCCGCCCGGGTGTCTGGAGCCCCGCGGGCAGAGCCGGCACCGGCCGGGGCTCCGTCCTCCCGGCGGGCGCCGGCGGGGCGGGGAGGGGTCGCGGGGCGGCGGCGGGGGCGCAGCGTTTAATTTTAATTCTTGCATATAAATAAATAAACCAGGTGTCAGTTTAAAGGAAGCGGCGGGGAGGGAGGGTTGAAAGGGGGCTGGGTGGGCGGCGGGGAACCCTCCAGCCTGGTGAGGAAGGTGGGTCGATCTAGGGGAATCAATAAGCTTTTTTTTTTTTTTTTTTTTTTTAAACCAAAATAATGTCTACGGCAGCAGAGACCTCTCCGAGATGTCAGGTATTAGTCCGGAGGGGCAGATCTGCGAGCCACACAGCAGCTCCTGGGTCTACGGTACATTAGCCTCTCCGTGGGAGAGGGATCCCAGACAGCTCTGCTGGGGAGCCAGCCCAGGAGATTTGTTAGCGGGCTGCTCCGGGGGATACCAGCCACCTCCGGCACCCGAGCGCCAAAGGTGCTTGTGCTGCTGCTGCTGCTGCTGCTGGCGCATTTCATCCAAACTCCAGCCAGAGCGGGGGCAAGTTGAACCGGAGACATTAGAGCCACTGTGCTTTGGAGAGACGAGGGCGCGCGGGGAGCGCGGCAGCACCATGCCTGCTATCAAGAAGGAGCGACTTGACAGGGAAGAGATGGCCCTGGCAGCTTTTAACCAGCCCATGGAAACCTTACCTGACTATCTCGCCCCTCTGGCCGCCGCTGCCATTCCGGTGGTCACCCCGCACCCGCCGGCTTACGACCAGATCTTTGCCCACCGCGCGTACCTGGGCTTCCACGAGACCCACCACCCCCACCCGCACCACCCGCACCACCCCCACCACCTCCCCGAGGACCTGATGCTGGAGAGGTTTTCCTCCATCCCGGATTTCCAGCCCTTCTTTGACAACGGAGAGCCTTGCATCGAGGTGGAGTGCGGGGAGAACAAGGCGCTGCTCTACATCAATAAGTTGTGCCAGGGGAGCAAAGGACCCTCTATCCGGTACCGGGGAGAGTGGCTCACCCCCAACGAGTTCCAGTTTGTCAGCGGCAGGGAGACGGCCAAGGACTGGAAGCGCAGCATCAGGCACAAAGGTAAAGGCACCGCTCGGCGTGTGCCGGGGTCCGCTCTTCCTCAGCATCCTCCCTCTCGCCCCCGTGCTCGGGGAGCGGGATCCGAGGGGGAGCTTACGGTCTATTAGCGCCCGCACGGGGAGAGCTGAGCCCTGATCCCCTGCGGCCGTGCCCCTCTCCCCCGCGCACCCCCGGCCCCTCTCCGCCGGATCCCCGCGCCTCGGTACCGGCCAAGTTTTCCGGGCGATTTGGGAATAGTTGTCCTTTTTTTTTTTTTTTTTTTTTTTCTTTGGCTGTGGCGGGGAGGTGTTGGGTGAGGAAGGTTGAGCGTTGATTTTTTGGGGGTTGGTGGGGGAAGCTCCTCTCTTGCTGGAGAGAAGTTTCATTCCGGAGGTTTGAACAGCGGGCGGACCGCGGGGTCGGGGGCTCTCAGGGGTTCGGCGCCCCGCGGCGTGGTCGCCCGCCCTGCGAGCCCCCGGCGGTGGCGGCGGTGTCGGGCAGAGCCGGCGCCGCGGGGAGCGGCAGCGCAGCCCCGGCCAGGCACCGGCGGGGCGGCGGGCGGGGCGGAGGGGGTGTTCCCCTCGCAGCTGGGTGGTGCGGGACCTCCGCGGCGCCGGCGGCTGCTGACGGGCGCCTGCCCTGCCTCCCTCCCTCCCTCCCTCCTCCCTCCGCGCCCGCCCGAGCCGGCGCCGCAGTCCCGGCACCGCGGCGGAGCTGCTGGTGCGGGCGGCAGGTGGAGAGCGGGGCCCCGGCGGAGGAGCGGGGGGCTCCGCGGGGCAGCAGCGGGGGCGGGCGAGGAGAGAGCGGAGCCCATGCGGCACGTAATGAGCTCTGAGAGCTGGATGTGCCAGCCCTTGGGGGGGCCGAGGAGCGATTAGGAGGTGACTGACACCTCGCCTGGGTTTATTGATCGCCAGAGCGCCGGGGCATCGCTTCGGGCCGCCGCGCTAATTGCCGGTGCTCCCGTGCGCATCGCTCCCGTTTCTTTTATTACTGGGGCTCCTGCTGCCTTCGGGAAAAGCTCAATTCCTCTGGGGTGAGTCAGGAGGACTGAGGCGCAGTGGACGGAGGAGCAGCGGGGAGGCGCCGCGTGGGCTGCCCCGCTCGCCCGGCCGTGCCCCGGGTGCGTGGGCAGCGCGCAGCCTGCGGGGGCTCGGCCGGGCTGCGGGAGCTCCTCCTGCCGCGGCTCTGCCCTGGGTGTGCGGGAGCTCCTCCTGCCGCGGCTCTGCCGGGCTGCGGGAGCGCTGGCACCAAGGACAGGCAGCGGCTGCCGAGGGCTGCGCCGCTGCTTCCTTCCCTCCGCGGGTACCTGCGGGGGAGAAAGTTGGATGAAGCGGCAGGCGAGGGTGGGTGCTGGTAGGCAGGCAAGGGGAGGGGTGTGTACAGGGAAGCAGACGCATGCACCCCCCTCCCCATTCCCCCCCCTTTCCCTAAATACTTTCCTTTTATAAACGTGCTGATCCTTTTTCTTTTCCTTCTGCTTTTTCTTCTCTTCTGCATATAGGGAAAAGTTTGAAGACTCTTATGTCCAAAGGAATCTTACAGGTACATCCTCCAATCTGTGATTGCCCTGGGTGTCGAATTTCGTCTCCAGTGGTAAGATTATTGTTAAACTATGTGCTTTAGCTAAGACATCTTCCCTCTCCTCTGCCTCCTTCCCTTAAAAGAAAAAAAAAAAAAAAAATCCCTTTGCTTCTGTGATCATGAAACCGTGATCTCTGAGGGTCGTCGAGTCTGCCAGAGCCCTGCTTGCACTGTGAGGGTTCCTGCAGTCTAGGGAGAGGCGAGCAGGAGAGGAGTTTGGAAGCAGAGCAGATGGGAAGAGCAGTGTTTGACCTGAAGGAAGCAGCAACACAGCGTGATTTTTTGGTTTTCAGGGGGAGCTGTCTGTGTGCAAAGGCAAATCGTTCAGGAGCCTCTTCCTTATTCCCACCCCTTCATCTTTGTGTATTGTGCAGAGGTGTGAAAATGGCTAAATAAAGAGAAAGGGAATTGTAATTGCACCCATGTGTTAGAGCCAGAACAGCCACAGTTTACAAACCATCAGTGAATTTGGTTAGATGAACTTCATGAGGAACGAGCTCATCTTAAATGCTTACAATTTTAACAACATTCATGTCACAGATCACAGTTATGGGTTTTAGAGATCTTTCCTTCCCAACTTTGGAGTTCCTTGTGTATTCCGCTGTCCTACCTTTATCCTGAGACTTTCAAAATCTCTCATCAGCATCTTCATGGAAAAGATGTTGATGCTATAAATAAAAAGCTGCAGAAATCATAGTAAAGTAAGGCTTTTAAACAGTTCATCATGTATAAAAATAACCATAAAGTACAATAACATCTAACCAGGAGGACAAAGCTGTTGGTTTGGTGAACTAAAGCAGGTCTTGGTTTGAAAGAACAACCATGACTTAAAACACTGCCAGTAGTAGCACTGTGGAAACAGATACAGCTGAAACCAATCCTTTTAAAAAAATTTTTTAATTGCTTCTTTGGGGTCAAGTGGACAACCTCTATCCACACGCAGTGTCTTTATGGTTTGGCACGACAGATGGAATTGTGAGTTTGTATCGTTCCTGGGTAGTATCTCTGTGCTTGCGTGGTTACATCCACATTCCCACGGGAAGGGGCTCAGAACAATAATCAGAGTCCCATGAATTAAGTGTGAAGGTGTCTTGCCTGTGGGCTGTGCAGCAGCAGTCCGTGCCACTGGTTCTGTTGCAGCATCGCCGCGGTGGGTTAAACGGGGTGGACTGAAACCTGGCTGTTCCTCTGAGTTGATGGGGCAGGGTGTGCTGTGGTGTGATCAGCTTCCTCCAGCTTGGAGTTTGGCGTGTGCTTTGGTTACCAGTCGTGCGGATCAGAGCCAACAACCTGCAGACCAAAGGGATGTGCCACGGTTGTGGTGGGGTTGAGAAGTGTCTGGCCAGGTGACACCGTCTGCTGGTCACTCTTTTGAGTACCCAGTTGCAGTAGTTGGTAGCCCAAAGGCCATACTGTGCTTTCCTAGCAGCAGCATTTTTAACAGTTGTGCAGGGATCTGTGCATTTCCAGGTGGGAAGGCAGCTCTGCGTGGAACAAGTGTCGGGTAGACTTTTTAGAACTGAATTTGAGAAGTTCGGATAGAGGGAAAAATGAGGTTTGGTGTAGTTTTGGGAAAGGAGAAGTAAATCGTTCCGGACTTGCCTCCCACTGCTTCCCCAGCTGGAAGGGGGTTTTGATGTCAGAATTTGCACAGCAAGGCCAAACCCCAGTGAGGACTTTCATCAGAACTCTGTTGTCAGTGCTCGCTGCCTTTCTGTGCTGTAATTCGAACACGTATCTGACCAAAGGACAATTCCACACATTGGACCTGAAATCTTTTGCTAGTGCCTTGTCAGCTACGTGCACTACACATTCCAAACTCAAGCACTGCCTTTGGAAGAGGGGCAAGCCCAGCTGCTTGTAGGCGTCTGCCTCTCTCCCCATCTGCTCACCGCAGGCAGCAAAGGGAGCGCTCCAAGGGCTCCAAGCCCGGCTCTTCCTTTGGGGAGAGGTGACATCCAGTGTATCCCCCCCAGCCAGGCGGGAATAGCTTGGGCTTTAATCACCGCATCGATGGCTCAGCAGAGGCCCTGCCTGGCTCTCCTCCTAGCGCTGCGCGGAGACACGAGCGGTCTGCCCATAAAGGAAACCGCGCCGTGCCCCCAACCCCGCGCTGGCAGGAGCCAGAGCCGAGCCGGGCACAGCCCCCTCCCTTCCTCCCCGAGGGCTCTGAGCTCCTCACCCGCTGTGCGGGGTCCCCGCAGGGCAGCCGAGCGCGGGGCCCCCCCCGGGGCTGGCGCCGCGTCCCCCCCCGGCCGTGCCCGCGCCCCGGCCGCGGTGCCGGCGGTGCCGGGGGAGCGGCGCCCGCCCCCCGCCGCCCCGTCGCAGCTCGTTTGCTGCCGCAGCTGCAGACAGGGGCCGGCGCCGGGCCCCGCTCCGCCACCGACCGCCGGTTTCCTGCGAGGCTCAGGGGAGAAAGGAGGGGGGGGGAGCGGCCGCGTCGCGCCGGCCGCCCTGGCGCCTCCTCCCCCCGGGCCGCGGCCGCCCCCGCGCCGGCATCCATCAATCAGCGGGGGGAAGGCGGAGGGAGGGAGGGGGATGCAGGAGGGCCCCGCGGGGTCGCGGCGAGCTCGTGGGGGATGATGCGGAGAGAGCACCCGCGGGAGGATGGGGAGCGTGTCCCCTGCGCGCTGCGAGGATGGAGGGGCAGAGCCGTCCTTGCGGTCACGCAGCGGTGGGGGAAGCGGTGGCTGCCCCCGTGCTTTGTGTCCCCGGCCCCCTGCACAGAGGCTTTTCAGGTCAGAAAGGGAAGAATGGCGCAGGTCTGGGTCTCTTCAGTTTTACGGAGGCACAGGATGCTAAGCATTCTCGAAGTTAGGTTGTCAGATGTGAACTAGGGGTCTTCCCCCCAAATTTGTGCTTGTCAGTTCTGGGCAGACACAGTTCGTCTTGTTTGGAGCCCTGCATCGATTCCAGTCTATTCTGGTGAAGCCCATTCCCCACAGGGTTCACTCTGACCCATCAAACCTCCCTCTGTGCTCCGAATACCACTCATGCATTTTCTCCATCTCTGCTTTCAACCCAAAGCCAGGGCAGGTCTTGAAAGTGGCAGTGGGCTTTTATAGACAGAGGGAGGGGGAAACAGCTCTAAAATCTTTATTGCTAAATGAAAATAACTTCGATTTGCAAAGTCCAGCATTGCATATCCAGGATAGCAGCAGAAAGGCATTCCTTAAGATAAATTTGATTGTTTGCCCTATCAGACCGTGTGTGACCCTTACTGTGTTTCCATTCTAGTAGTGCTGCCTTTAAAAGTGAGTTAGGACTGACTGGACATTGTCTGCTCCTCATCCTCTTTTCCCATCTGTTCTTGGACAGGGTGTCAGTTTGAAAGGTGGCCCATGTTGAAGTTCAAGGTTCAGGTCACAGGTGAATGAGGGAAGGCCGGGTTCCCCGAAGCTATTGTGACCCGGCCCTATTCAAACAAAACAAAAACTACCATAGAACGATGTTTGCTTTTTGTCCCCTCTCCTTCATCGCATGCTGAGACACATGGTGGTTGTGCATAACTTGGTCACTGACAATGGTAATTCATTTGCTTGCTGGGGCTGTGTTTTGCTCTTGGTTTGATTTATACGTGATTCTTTTTATTTGCTGCTTTTTTTGCTCTTCGTCATCGTCGTTGTTTTCATTTGATGCCCCGAGGTTAAGGCGTTAGTCCAAGACTTTGTCAGGGATGGAAAAAGTAACTGTCTGCTTACTTCTAAAACTGAATGCCAGTAAACAGCAAAGCCTCTTGTTGTTTAGCCCCAAGGTTTCTGAGCGTTCTCCTGTTCCCTGTTTTGGGGTGCAGGGGTGGAAGGCAGCTCTGTGTCACCCCCAGTGAGTGGCTTTGGGTCACTCGTGGTGTTTGGCTCTGGCTGGAGCTCCACTCACTGCCCTTCCCCACTGATGCCCTCCTGGCTGCTCCACAGGTTTCCTGGAGTGCCAGGAACTGCACAGGGGCAGAGAAGGGAGAGATCCAAATTTAGAGACTGGCCCAAAAGAGCAATCTCTCTCACTGGACATGAGTCTTTCATGAGAACTTTCCTATGAGAAGAGGACTTTGCCTGCTGGAGAATTGAGTTGGCTGCCTGTAGAGGCAGGATTAATTCTGAAATTTCACTGTTAATGGAACAGATTAGAATTAGGTTCGTTTTTGAGCTGCTGTTGGCTTAAGGATTGGAGCTGGAGAACGTTGGGGTTTATGTGAAGGGGACTGTTTTCATAACTTTGCCTTTGTGTCCCGGGGGGCTGCCTTATGAATGTGGAAAAAGCCCCTCTGTAAAGCAGACTTATAAACCTCTTTATCCCCCCAAGGTCTTTGGCACAGTCTGTTGATTTTTATTTGTGGTTTCATGCTGATTTGGCTTGTTGCTTTTAATCCAGTACATTTTAGTTTGGGTTAGTGTTTGCTGGAGGTTTTTGAGTTGGTTGGGCTTTTTTTTTTTTTTTTTTTTTTTTTTTTTTTTTTTTTCTTCTGTTTTGTTTTTTAAAGGACTTGGCTCAGGTGATTTTTAGCATGTGTGTGCTGCACTGCAGACTTGTGAATTCAACTTGAATTCTTAACAAAAGTTTCTTCAAAATCTGTCAGATTTCACCTTTAGGGAGGAACTGGAGATAAGATATGTCATGGTCTTAAATGGGGTGAGAGACTCACACATCCCATCCAGGGATGGGAAGAGGCGTTGAGTCTGAGTTCACAACCTCAGCTTGCAGGGCTCTGTGATCCGAGGGCAGTGGGAAAACTTTTGTGTCAGCCTTTTCCTTTCACAGGAGAGTCCTTAAAATCAACTGGGTTTGGGTCACAGAGCGCTTCACCCAAAGGGGATTTCCAGGGGAAAACTGGCAGCTTGAAAGGGGAATCAGTGTGGCAGTGAGAGGTGCTCCTAAATGTGTTGTGCTTTGGAAATTATTCCTCATGGTCCTCAAACGCTGCTCCTGACCGGGGCACTCAGCAGTTGCGGGGTGCCCGCTGTCAGAGGGTTTGGAGGGCGGGTGTTGCACCAATAAAAGGGCTGGTTATTGTTTCC